TTATATTAGTATTATGTTATTGATTTCAGTTTCTTACTGTTAATATTAATGAAATTATTGTGAGTTGAATCGATTTGTCACTGTATTAAGTAGCGTCATCATAAATTATAATCTATATAAAATGATTACTGTAGGACGTATAAAAAACTTAGTGGTTATTTCGTGATACATGAGTGTAAAGGAATAGTAAAGTATGTTGTATAACAAAATACAAATACTTGGCTCTTGTATTCTTTATTTAGTTTATTATCTTGTCCCACCTGTTTGGGATATATATGGCATTTTTAACAAGCGGGATTTATGCCCAAAGCATACAAAGTGCGCAGATTAAATTCAGTGCACTAAATATAATAAACGCATGAAATATGTACCTCATGTCATGACACTTGTATTACATCTGGAAAGATTGTAATTATTATTTATTACTTCATATACATATTTATCATTCTTATTTTTTAATAAAACTTTATAAACGTATTTTAAGTTATTGTGTCATTTTACATCTTATTTATATGCATTATTTGTAAATTTTTTATGGATCATATGTATCCCCCTCCCCTTATGAATAGCCATATATCCTTCCTCTATACGGATGTACGGCAAAAATGCAAGAGTTTTAAAAAATTCATTTTTTAATACAAAATATAAATATTTTGGATTTCTAATATTTTTTTGATAATAGTAAATAGTACAAAGTTTTTACTGAAATTATTCGTTTACTTTAAACATAGTAAATAATACTTAATAAATTAAGTTTTTGATAAGTATATCAGAATTACTCTAACATATCTATCTAACATATCTACCTAATTAATATGCTGCAACAATCTTACACATAAAAGCATGAAACTAAAAAATTCATAAATATTTATGACACACAGGAGATATACAGAAACTCTCATCTTTCGCGGCGCAAAATTTTTCTGATTCACACTGTACGATAAATGCAATTCAGTTTGCAAGTTTAATAAAGTGTGTATTACGAGCAAGAATTCCAGATGTAATATTACATATTTAGACTATGTCGCAAAGCTTTGTGATTTACTTTGAACACGGAGAAATCATGAAGAAATCACGATGTATTATGCATGTAAAATGACAGAAAAATAATTAGAAGAAGACATATCGAAGCAATGCATGACCTATATAACTCTGAATAAGCATTGATTATTTAAATAAAAATAGGAATGATACATACAACATTTAATAAAATTTGTCTATCACCATTTTTGTTTTATTTCATATTTCGCGGAAAATGTTTAATTACTAATTGCAAATTGAACGCGACATTGCGTGCGATCATGTTCTTGTGTTAAAAGTGTGCTTTAATTTATCGATGACATTGCTCGACGTGAAAAACGGAGCACTAATGGAATCGGTATTTTACCGCTTTACTCTGGAATCGCGTACTTCTCTCGAAATAGTGGTACGGAATTAACCACGGACAACCGCACCAGGAAGTCATATTTCAGTACCCAATGCAGTTCTGTGGCAATCAAATTTTTCCATGCACGTCCTATGAACTCCCTACGGTTGGCGTATTTTGACGGAAATTTAACCAATCTGTTGAAGGTACACAAACAAACTTCTACGTATTCTGTAAATGCTTTCCACGTTTACGAATCGGAACTGAGTTTTAAGAATCTAAATTCGTACAGTATATCTTCAGCTTTCGCATATATTGCAATATAAATATGTTAATAATAAATTATTTTTTCTTTATGAGTATTTGTGATAAATTATTTATTATTTTATTAAACTCAAATCCAGTCTTCTAAATATAATAATAAATTATCATAACAATGTGATAAATAAGTATAGAATTTAATTGCAACATTTAAATAGGAATTTCTATAATTATTTCTGTAATTAGCGCAAATAAGTCATAAAAAGTTAGAAATTAGATATTTGTAAATGAAAAATATTGTCGATAATAATTATTGTAATAAGTTAACCAACGATATAAGGATATTTCAAACTAAATTAAAGTGCACGAGCGTAAGTGATATGTCAGCTATACTGATTCCAAGATTTTCAAGATAGGACAGAGAAACGTGGGCTACCGAGAAGATTGATTCGTGAAGAGCAATTTTACCACAAGCATCTTCTGCATCTCTCTAAAAATACCGAATAAAGTTCAACATCTAACCGAGTTTCAAACTTTACTTTCAAATTAAAATTAATATTACATGTTGTTGCTTCTAATATTATATTACGCTATTCTGTATTATAACATGGAAATTTCAGATTCGCATATCTTGAATTCTGGAAATGTCAATAGTTGCCGAATAACATTATTTTGAAGTGTAAAATTGAAAAAAAATCTCAAAACAGAATAAATGCAAAAGACGCTAATTATAAAAATTTGAAATATTATAATCTTTTTTTCGTCTACAAATATCAGACATCAATCCAATTAATTGACAAATGTTTGGACTATCGCGGATTCCTACATAAACACTGTATAATTACGAGATGGTTTCCTTGAACTCAGCCTCAAGATCAACAATCTCCAATTGGTAGTATAGATACTAGACATTTACTCATCTTTATGAATTCGATATGATAATCAAACACGTTCAACAAACTTTACATATTGCATTTGCCGTTTGATGCTGACATGTCTGAATTTTGACACAGCTATTCCATCGGATATACAAAAGATATGCTTTCATACTATCACACAATTTTTAGAAATGAAAAATTGAATGTTTGCATGATGCACGCACGCGCGCGCGCGCACGCGCGCGCGCGTGTGTGTGTGTGTGTGAAATAGATTCCCTTCTTGAAAAAAATAAGAGAACGATGTTTCATTAACTTGTATTTCTACACTGAGAAAATGTACTAAATTTTAATAAATAATTGTTTGATTATATTAATATAATATTTATTTAAGGAAAATGAATATTTGCTAAATAAAAAAATATATTAGTTAAATCAAATTAATAATTATTGTATCAAATAAATACATGTTAACATTTAAGAAATATTCAATTGGCACAATTTATACAAATATTTATTAAAATTTAGTATATTTTTCTCTCAGTACTTTTTTGCCAAAATAAACTTTCTCAGAATATTAACTTTGTGTTAATCAGCTTTAAGATTACATTTTGTTACTATTAAAATTAATATATTTCTTGATTTATTAAATTATTAAAAAACTAAAAATAGAATCTTTATACTAGCTCCAATTTTTTCTTTGGTCTAGACTCAGAATAATAAGAGATTCCTATTCGTAAAAACAAGATTTAAAAAGTTGAAGACATAAAAAAAAAAGTGTTTAATAAACTGTGAAAGACAGCAGTCTCGTGTATTTAGTCACGCTGTAGAAATGGAAATATAAAATATGAAATAGATAGAATCGTCTGAATCACGATGACAGATTAACTAACGTCGTTCCGTACTGAAACATTAATATTTAAGAAAATGCATTGCCCTCGGATCGTCGATCATTGCGATCGGTAGCTTGACTTGACGTTCACCTTGAATGGGAAAGGCAGAATGCTTTGCACAAAGTCAAAGGAATTACTGAATTCAACGTGTCGTAACCAATGGGTTCTCTGCTTTCTCTACCCTGTCAAAGGACAAAACTGGTCGTGTCGGATTGTACCAGTTTGACTTATTCATTGAATGTCCTTTAAATCTTCTATTACCATTAATGTTATATTCTCTTTTCAAGAATAATTTTGCATGAAAAATTCAGAATAAAAATAGAGCTTCTTGTAGCATTTATACCAAAATCTTTATCGTATATAAGATAAAATTTATAAATCATAAAGTTATTATAATCTACATTAAATTCTCTTTGGGTTTATGCGTTGTCATAAATTGTGTTACCATTATAAATTAAATTTAATTACGATAGCCACATGCGAATAATAATACATTGTCACGTTTAACATGAGCGCATAATCAATTGCGTTTTGGTGTTATGTATGTACTTACGAAATTGTTAGAAATATTCATTTAAAGGTAATGGATCATCCCTTGATGATAATAACAGGAACGAAACAGAATTATCCTAAAAGCACCGAACGGTGGTCTAAACACCTACATGTAATTCAACCAAGTTTTATCCATGTTCGAAATTTTCGTTATTTTGTACGTAAACGTATTAATAACATAGATTGTAAGCCGCGCATAAAGCACTTTTTCTTTCCCTCTTTCTCTTTTTCTTCTGAATATAAGAGAGCAAAATCGTTGCCTGTTATTCAGCGTATCGTCAATTCGATTCGATCAAATTTCTCATAAACGAAAGAATTAAACGCACCTGTATCATTTTTATCGATTAATCAATGTCATATTTTTATTTCAACATAGAAATACTTCATTTTATATACGAATGCGGATAAGCATACTTTTCACGGAACCGAAAGAAAATTTATTTTTCGATTACTGAATTCATAATTTAAATTCTCTATAAAATAATCTTCTAAAGATTATCGTGGAGAGAAAAAGAAAAAAATAATAATCGATTCGGTTCTTTGTTAATACTCTAATTAATCGGTTATTACTATTATATTTTTCTAGAGGATACTTTTCTTTAAAAAAATGTTAATATTTATAAGAAATATTATGTTTATAATCGACAGCACAAAGTATAATTTTTAATTAATTAAATATATTATTATACATGAAATAAAAATGTTTCAAAAAAATAAAAGTGTTTAAAATTTTCTGTACTAAATATAGAAAATCATATAGTAAAATATAATAAAATATTTCCATATTAATAAAATATTCCCTGCAAAATTTAATGTGTTTTTTAATTTACGAATGTTGTTTATTTAATCGTTTTAATTAAAAATACCTTTTTTTAGGCAAATCTATATTTTTCTTAATAACGTTAAATCTTTCTAAAAACAATATTACAACTAGAGATATGGATAACATGCATAAAATGTCTGTTATCGAGACAATAAAATATGTTTGTCATTTCCTCTATCTTCTACCGATTTTATATTTCATAAGATAAAAACTTCGTTTTTATTTTTCAGAAATTCCAGCTGTTAAGTCGGGAATGCATCATCATGTTGCTTCCATCATCGCGATCGAAAAGCTGTCGCTCGGATAAATCAAAACGTATAGAGAGGATGCTGCAAGAACAACGCGTTTATGGATCCTATATATACCTTATGTGTGCTTGTAAATTGTGATGTAACATCATGAGCAGGTAGAGTGAATCGAACTGAGTCAAAAAGTCATCTACCATTTTGCAATTTACGCAACAGTTAACGAAATATTAATTACTAAAAATTGCCAAATATTGGTTTTGAATAATTTTTTACTTAAATATAATACTATCAACTTTATAGAAAAACTGCAAGAGACAAAAATCATTTATTTTCTTCTCATAGAACTCTAAAAATTTTTTCAGAATTTTTTATCAACTTCTTAGTACAGCATTTTCTTATTTTTACCAATATGAGAAAATACGGTATTAAAAAATTCTGAAAAAATTTTCAGAACTAAGAAGAAAATAAATATATATAAGAAGAAAATAAATGATTTTTGTCAATATTTGGTAATTTTTAGTAAATAATATTTCGTTAATCATTGAAAAAATTGCAAAATGGTAAAAGACTTTTCGATTCAGTTCGATTCATCACTCTACCTGCTTATGATGGGTGACGAAATATGTTAAAATCACTCTGTATATACATATATATATTAATGTTAAGAACATATATGTATCAAATTATGGGCGATAAGTTCAAAAGGTAAAAAAAAATGTAAAAAATGCGAATTACAATTATAAACGTCACAAACTGATCTGTTCATACATATTTACGTTTAATCATAATAAATAGCACATCTGTAATTTATATTGTTCTCATCATTTAATTCAAATCATTACTTGCTTTATTGCAATTTTTAATTCATTATATTATAACATAATTTTTATAAAATCTTATTTATAAATTTAAAGAAGAAAATTTACATTTATACTCATTCCATCGCAACTATATATACGTATATATATGTTTTTTATATTATTTTTACATATAACAAGATAAATTTTATATTCTTTACTTATAGTTTTGAAAAAGATTTGAAGAAGTGAGATTTGTAACTTGTCACAATATTGATGCGTCTTCGAACTTTTTATAGAACAAAGATTGAAAACACTATTATTTCGTTGTTTTCATCACAATGTAAGGATTCCTATCTATTGATCCACTTGTCTACATCTCTCTGTACTTCATTGAAGTGGAAGTGACAACCCAGTGTGACGCACCATCTTGAACGCCAGTAAGATCAATCGATCCAACTACCACAACTTTCTCATCGTCTCTAACTCAACCAACTTCGCAATTTATTTCCAAAGTTCCTTTTATTCTCATTTACGATCATGACGTTAGTATTATTGGTTCACTAAATAATAATAAATAACGTTATTATTATTAATAGTATTATTGATTCACTAAATAATAATAAATAGATACCAATTTAGGTAAATGAATTACATTTTTTTAAAATATATATCTTGATATAAAAATGTAAATAATGTGGATGCAAAGTAAAAAGAGAATTTAAACAAATTTTAAGTAGAGAATTATTTCGCTGATATACGCGTTCTCAAGGAAATTCGCAGGATATTAAATTCTCACAGATCACAGGTCAGTCAGGAATTTCTGTATCTGAGTCTTTGTTACAAGAGCTACAATTGATTTGGTTGCCATCAAAAGTTAAACGGTTCCTGTTCAACAGGGTCGACACACTTTGAGAAAGCTGAAACCAAGACGGAAGTCCCTTCGTGCACATATTACGTTCTCAAAATAGAACAATGACGAGGTCGAGCTTTTCCCTAAGATTGAATCATAAATAACTTGTTAGAAATTTCTTTTTATTTAGTATACGATTTACATATATGCAATTTTTAAGTTATATATTCATAAATTAATAAGAATGCATGAATTTTTTATTATTATATGTATAATTTCGATCTGCCGTTCTCCAGCTATTAATTGTAAAATTTTTATGCTATATTGAATTATAGAAGATTTATAATATTATAGCTTACGCTAAGTTCAAACAAAAATTTATTTTTGATACAACTGCAATATTTAAAACAATCAATCTATGTTATTTTATTTCTAGTCACTACAATATCGTGATTTTGAGAATTCAATATCCCCGGTAAGATAAAATATTTATTCTATCCGAAAAAAAGATAAAGCTTTCAGTCGTGTTATATAAGATATAACTGTAGTAACATATAGATATTCAAAATGCGCTTTTATTTTTATTTAAATGCGCGCTGTTACTAAAATTCTACTGTATAATAACATGGTCTATATGCTAAATGCGCTAACTTTGTTATAAGCTTTGAATACGGGTCAGTATTATATTTATTATTTTCTGTCTTTGGGATTAGTTCGGAATCGAAAAATCAGATAATTGAGATTCAATAATTTTAATTCCTTTAAGTATTGTAGCTAAAAGCAAGAACGAACACAATATTTATCCAATAAATAAATAAATAATAAGGAACAACAATAAAAATAAACAATAATAAAATTAGCACGTTATTGATAAACATTTTACAGACAGAAATTTCCATAAAAAATGCTTTCTCTTCTTAATTTAACATATAAAAAAATTTTAATTTTCTTGCTATTCAAAAAATTAATAATCGCGTATGCTGAGCACGTTTCGCGTGTCCTTCAAAGAAAAACAAATTAAATATCTCGGATTTTTCAAGCCCGTTATCAAAGCAAATCAAAAAGAATCGATCTTTCTGATCACGTGCCAATGTTTCTTTTTGCCACATAGTGGCTTTAATGACACATATTGTGCACTACCTGTTCCTGTATAGAATGATTAATGAAGAAATGTTTGAAAATTGGCTTTTGAAACGTGTCGATCTGCGAGAAAAACTAATAAAACCTATTCTATCTCATATATATTGTATCTCAAAATATCATCTTTATCTTATATGAGGAAGGCTTTAATTTAACCGAAACATACATTTATTTTATTTGATTTACTTTACTATGGAAATGAGAATAAATAATATAATTATATACTCTCTCTCTCTCTCTCTCTCTCTCTCTCTCTCTCTCTCTCTCTCTCTCTCTCTTTCTCTCTGCCCCTTTCCCCTCTCTCTAATCTACTCATAATTTGATCATTTACTTCCTTCATTTGCGATTTGCGATTAAAGAGCTGTATCAGTTCGGTCAAAGTATTATTTTTTGTTTAATTTAATGCAAATTTTATTCATAGTAAGTCCTTAGAGAGCAAGAGAGAGATTGTTCTTCAGCTAGGACATAGAATATCATACTGTTCAATTGTGTAAGATACTTGTTGGAACGCAGTTTATTTTCATAGTATAACACCAGAATGCATTGTAATCTTTCTTATTCATTATAATTATATTTAGCGTTCGAGTATCGATAATAGATTTATAATTTTCATGTAGACTTAAGTTAATTTTTTCAGAATTGATGATTTTTGTCGGTTTTATTGCAAAATGAGTATGGTTACCAAATAATTTTTTGAAAAGTTGATAACATTGACATATTTTATATGTTCGTATCTTTTTACAGTGTCGAGCAGTTTAACACTGTGTTACAGTTGGAACTTTGCGTAAGACATACTGTTACACTGTGTCGTGCATGTACGTTGTTGGAAAATACCCGCGGAAAGAGAGAAAGAAAGAGAGAAGAAGGGAGGGAGAGGAAGGAGAAAAGAAAGGAGGGAGGGGGAGAAGAAGGGAGAAAGGGAGAGGAGGAGGGAAGGGGAGGGGCGAGAAGGAAAGGGGGGAGAAAATTAATATTACAAAAATCCTTAACACTTTCAAAACTAAATGTAATAATATAATATATTACTAATAATATATAATATATTATATATTATATATTATATATTATATATTATATATTATAGGACCGTATGTGTGATAACATTAACTTAGAATTTGATTAAAAATCAAAGCCTTAAACGGTCTTACTGGATTTTAAATGCTTGTATGATTTTTGTGTGAATTTATATACTACGTATGTAGTCCCCAAAAACGCACGCCAAAATTATTTTTCGATTTTGAAAACGCTAATTGAACTACCGCAGTGATATCACGAGTTAAATTGGCTAGTAATTTAACAAATTTTTGATGCTTCGCATCTTTGAAACGATTCTAATAATGTTGAATAACATATTAAAATCTGTTTAAGGCTTTGATTTCTATAGTTTGTAATAACTAATGTCGCAAAAAAAAATTATTAAATATAAGTTCGTCTGCCACGGGAACTACGATCAACTTAATATTGTTTGAAATATTGGGGCATATTGTTCCTCTATAATGACATTAACAAGAATTAACTTTTACTTTTCTAAAGTATAAAAAGAAACCAGGGGATTACCTTCTCTGTTGTGACGAGGGTTATTTTAACAGACACGTACAGGAATGAACGCAAATCAGCCGTCTAATGTCCGCTCGTCTACCTTATCTGTCACATTTATCTCAGCAAACCGGGATGTGCGCGGGAGTGGCATTTAAACGCCGTCGTGGGCGAAATGAGATGGAAATTACGAGGTACAATGATGAGTGACGAAAGTACGAGGTCGTTCCTCATTCGAAGAGTATGCAAATGAGAAAACCGGCGGAAAGTCCACATCGTGAAAAACAGGTTGTATTTTTCTGTACCGGCGTAGCGGATGGAAAACCAAGCGCGACAATTATTAATGAGTGTGTTAAATCAACGGTGATCAATATTGCGCGTACTGCAAGAGGCAATAGCCAGTCCTTTATTGTCGCATATATCGACAGAAATTAGCCGTTTCTTAATTATCGTCACTTTTTCAGCATCATGAACGATGTGAATAAATTGCTTGCTTGGTAACAGAATATGTTTCATTTTGTGGCGTTGTATGTATAGCATTATGAACTACGTAACGTTCCCGGCAATTGCAAGTTTATATAAAAGAATCTGTACTTGACATATTACTCAAGAATTCATTATACGGAGCGATTTTGACCTACCTAACGTCTCTTCATAAACTCTCCAAAAACAATGTGTTAAAACAACAATTCATATTTGTATGAATTTGGTTGCAGTGGAATTAAGATGAAAATAATTATAAATTGTAATTTCCAAAATCTAAATATTTAACGATAAAGAATATAATGAAACATTTTGCATGAAATGCAAAATATA